GACTGCTTGCCTGCCACAGAAACAACAAGGAGTCTGGTGGCACCTTACAGACTAACAGATTTATTTGGGCATAAGCTTTCGTGGGTAAAAACCACTTCTTCAGATGCATGGAGTGAAAATTACAGATGCAGGCATTATACACCTCTACCTCGATATAACGCTGTCCTCGGGAGCCAAAAAAATCTTACCATGTTATAGGTGAAACCGCATTATATCGAACTTGCTTTGATCCACTGGAGTGCGCAACCCCCCCCCCCAGAGCACTGCTTTACCACGTTATATCCGAATTAGTGTTATATCGGGTCACGTTATATTGGGGTAGAGGTGTTTACTGACACATGAAGAGAAGGGAGTTACCTCACAAGTGGAGAATCAGTGTTGGCAGGGCCAATTCAATCAGAGTGGATGTAGTCCACTCCCAATAATTGATGAGGAGGTGTCAATTCCAGGAGAGGCAAAGCTGCTTTTGTAATGAGCCAGCCACTCCCAGTCCCTATTCAAGCCCAAATTAATGGTGTTAAATTTCAAATGAATTTTAGTTCTGCAGTTTCTCTTTGAAGTCGGTTTCTGTAGTTTTTTGTTCAAGTATAGCTACTTTTAAATCTGTTATAGAATGTCCAGGAATATTGAAGTGTTCTTCTACTGGCTTTTGTATGTTACCATTTCTGATGACCGATTTGTGTCCATTTATTCTGCCACAGGGATGGCCTCTTTGCAGGTGAACTAGATCATTGGGGAAGGGGCCCCCAATGAAAAATGGGGGAAAATAAAGTATTTTTTTATTGGGGGTAGAAAAAATGAAAGAAAGACTACAGCTAAGACTAAGGACACTAGCAAACAACTAGAAATGCTAAATAAATTAACAATCACAAACAGACTGCTAATGGTCCCATCTCTAGCCAGGGGCAGTTGAGAAGGAACTGAGGAGGGTTAGCCCAAGTGGAAGGTCATGAGGAGAGACAGTGCATGTGTGGGCCTAACAAACACTGCTGCCAAAGTTCGCCGATGAGCAGTGCAGGGATACAAGCACACCTGGAGCACCCCAGGACACTACTTGAAAAATTATTCCCATTTTACAGGTGTAGAATTCGAGGCACAGAAATGTGACGTGCACACAGCAGGACATTTGCTGAACAGGGAAAAGAACTCAAATCTCCTGATTCAAAGACCAAAATTCTATCTATTACACCTTGCAGCATCTCCTAAACCATAGGCATTACAGGCAGATTGTTAACGCTACCTATTATTAAGGTTACCCAACACTTCCCATTATAAGACCCTATTTTCAGTTGCTTATAACTTTGTCAAACTTTAACCATTCAGGACGAAATTTTCCATGTCTGCCTCAGGTTTCTTTTCTTTTCGAAATTTTCAGCCAAAATGGTTCAGCTGTTTCTGAGACTGAGGCAAGGAAAAAATACATTGCTTTTTAATGTGAAAAATTTCCCAGTTCTCTTTGGAAAGTTCTAGTGCCCACATACTTCGGAGCAGGGATTTGAAATTTGGCAAGGGGGTGGGACTTTTATGTCAGGGATATGCCTTTTACCATCATCATGAAAACCCACCCACATTTGGCCAAGTCATAAACCTCTGAAAAAAAAAATCACAGTTCATGCATGCTCAGAAGAGACTTGCTAGAGTTTAAAAGATAAAACCTCTGAAGATTCCGTCCTCACTGAGCATGCTCTAGTCTCTCCCAGCTCCTAATGATGACCAGACTCCACAGATATCATCTGCACAGAGCCACTGAAGATGCTCCATCCCTCATAGTTCCGGTGTGTGACTGGAATGTTCACACACCATCCCCACAGAGTGACTGAGTATGCATCCTCCCACACAGAGCTACAGCGGTGAAGCTGGACTTTTTCCTATAATGGCTGCTCTGGGCTGGTGTGGACCCAGGCACTAGAACTGAAAGCATGGAGCCTGTCTCTCCTGTGCTCTTAATGATCACCCATCCCCGTGCTGGCACTCAGGTAGTGTGGAGGAAGAAGCCATCTAATTAAAAAACCAAGGGGAGAAGGGTCAGACCTAGGGCTCTGAGATGCAGTGTTGGAGGAGTATATTGGGACAGGGAGTCCAGGGGATGAAGACTGGGATTGGAGGCTGGCAGAGGGCAGAAACTGGGACTGGGAACCAGGGATGGAGACTGGGACTGGATAGAAAAGGAGACCAGGTCTGGGAGCAGGGGAGAGAAATGCGGGTGGGAGTTAGGGAGACAGATGGTGTGTGGGGGAACAGTGATAGGATACAGAACTGGAGGGAGAGAGAGAGAGAGAGAGAGAGAGGAGGGAGGAGAAGAGAG